TAAGCAGTGACTTGCTCTGGGGTGTTGTCAGTCGATGAAACGTGTAGCTTGTGTGTATAGAGCCAGTCTACACCTTGTGCCTTAAACTCCATGTGAGAGGGACAGACACGCTCTTGGGAGCCACTTCTGGGTGAGACAGACTGCATCCTCTTCAACCACTTGTTGGTGAATGGTTAATTCGTGGAAAATTATCATTATCATCCTTTTCCCCTCTGCATGTTAACCTGGTGCAAACCTGTTGTTGTTATGCAGCTTTTCCTTGTTTAAATAAATGCAGTTCTCTTTGACCCACTCTGCAGTCCTCAACAAATTCCTTGCAAGAGTACAAGTGAAAGGTGGCAAATGCAAACACACCTGTAGCAGAACTGCAGACCCACGGTGTGGATTTGGATGTGCTGTGGAAATTTGCTTTGTTGTGTTCCACTGCCAGCAAGGGCCAAAGCGTTACTGCTCTCATGTAAATGGTTGCAAGTCCTAATCCACTCTTGGGGTTTCTGTGGGCAGCGGGTGTAAGTACGTGTGTGCCTCCATGTAACTTCAAGTGGGAATTAGAACTGCTTGATCCTGTAGTGGCATGATCTTGTGATGGCACTTTCCTTATCTAATTGGGTCTGACACTGTTCTGAGGTAGCAGACAAACTTGAGTTTCCCTGCAGTGTAATCTAAGAAACTTGAGTGCCAGTAAGACAGATGGGTTTGAGAGGTCTAATTTAGGAGGACTACTAAATTGCAGTGTGTGCATTTCAATGTGCGAAACAAATGGGTGGAAGGCTGGCTGAATGAAGTATTAAATAAGTTTATTAAAAGCATGGCTGATTAGTTTTTTGTGGACTCTGTTTTCAGTGTGTACAAAGATATTTCCATCACTTGTGTGTTTCCCCACAAGGCACTGTTGTTCATCTGCCTGGATTAGGTAGGTACTGTGTGACACTGAGCTCGTGGTACTAGGTGACACCTCCCTCACTGTTGCTTAAAAGCATTTGAGAGGTAAATGTTAAAGGCAATCATTAGATAACGGGGCCAAAAATAGAAGACACCTGAAAAAGAAATTCCTTTTCTGTAGCTCTAAGAATTGTTCGTATTTGCCTGACATTGACTTTGAAGGTTTAAAATACAGAAAATTGTTCTTTATGGATGAGCACAACCTAAAGGCTGAAATGCTAAAATATAGGTTGGAATCTCCTTTTTTTTTTTTCTTTGCAGAAGAAGAGAAATTCACACAAGGGCAAAAACATACTGCAGTGGGTTTTAGCTGTTTCCATAATGTTTGATTTCTGTTGCCTCAGATTCTTGCAAGGTCAGATATTTTATTGCCTGTGGTTGAAGGATGTAGAATCTCGTACATGTAAATTTGTGATGGTCACCATCCAGGAAAGACAAATTATATCCAGCTGCCATTACTTTTGCTTGTGATGCTTTTGGGAATCCCTGTATAGCTTGTAAATTCCTGTTGATGTTTCCCATGAAGCACATCTCAGATTTCTGCATGTTGCTTTTTGTTATCACCGAGACCCAGGACAAGGAAGGGCTGTTAAACCCTTCATGGCTGCTCTTCAAATAAGAGCAGCTTAAGACAGTGGGATAGCTGAAGCCTGGGGCAAGCTGTGAGGACAAGCCTGGCTGCAGGGAGGAGTCTGTTAAAAAACAAGGAGAGAAGATCAGAGTGGTCAGATGTTGGTCCTGCAGCTCTTAATACTGCAGAGCCTGAGGCTATGGTTTCCCAGTGGGTAAACCAGATACCAGTCAGAGCTGCTGGTGTTCCACCTGCCCCAGAGTCCTTGCTGACGTGGGCCTGCCTGTGCCCTGCCTTGTCCAAGTGCTCCTCTGAGTGCCTCCTGTGTTGCTGGGTTGGTCTGTGGGCAGTTTGGCTCCGTGGGTGAGCGTGCACTGTGCTGTGTCACATCTCTGTCACACCTCACACACCTCTGACAGCTCGTGCTCACTCTGCCACAGCAGGAGAGCTCAAGTGGGAGAAGGTTGAGGAACAATACAGCAACAGGCACTAACTGTGCCACAGGGCTTTTATTCCTTCTGCTGGTTTAAGTCAGATGTGACTCTGGGACCCTCATCAGTCTGTCTGCTTCTGCTGTCAGTGCACTCCTGAGGGACAGCACTGGGCAGTCTGACCAGCACCAGGTGCTGAGGCTCCGGTCAGGTCTCTCGTGCTAGTGTTGTCTGTGTTGCTTTACAGGGTCATTCCAGCCCAAAGCAAGCCTCAGGAGCTGCTGTCATTTCCTCATCTTTGCTGCTGTCCCTGCCTTATGGCAGTGCTCAGGCCACCACAGCTCACCTTCCGGTGGGAATAAGAGCATAAAGTGCATTGAAGTCTGCTTTGGGTGTTTTGAGAGGTGAAGAAACGTTATGTAGCCCAGTGCTTGTAATTTAGGACAGGCAACTGTCACTGCATTCAGCAAGGTGCTACTGGACGGGTGGGGAAAGGAGGGAAAGAGAAAGAGGGCAATGTGGACAGCAAGGTCTGCGAGGCATTCCCCCTCTTAGGAGTCAGCAGCTTCCCTGTCAGAGACCAGCCACTCTTCATCTGTCCCCAGCTTGCATCCCAGGTAGCTTTCTGTGCCCTGCTGCCAAGAGGCTTAGCTGGCCAAAAATGCATACATTTAAGGCACTGCAGATGCCTCCCTTAACTTATGTTTACTGAAAGATGTAGGAATAAGTTCTGATACCATGCATATGTTCCAGAACAAGTGGCATCTTTTGGAAGGTAAAAAGGCAAAAGTCAAGTGTGGAGTCTAGGCTCAGCAAGTAGGCTGAAGTGGCACTAAGTGAAAGTAAATAAAATGCACTGTGAGTGCTGCAGTGTGCATTTATATATAGTGTAAAAGAGAACTAAAATATTTCTCAGAGTGATAAAAATGCGCAAAACATGGAAATCATTAGCTGTATAACAGGCAGCAGAGTTTTTTTTTCTGTCTTCCTTAGCATTAGGAACAGCACCAGACATTTCTGATCAGTATTCCCATGAAAACTTGCAGATGAGTCCATGGCAGCACTGACTCTGAAAGCTTGTGATGGTGAGAGACACAGCAATTGCCTTCATAGGTGGTTGATATCCTCTGTTTGGATACTCCCGAGGTATCCCAAGACCAAGGCTGTTAAAGCGATCTGGCTGGTTTCAGTTTAGCAAAACAGATGCAAACAAGTATTCAGCACACTGAAAATGCATATAGGGGATGAAACTCCTAGTTACCACAGTAAATAAAGCGGGCGGTTGCACTGATTGTAGGGCTGTTGCATTTAATTCACTAACAATCACTGCAATTAGGCACTCGCAGCTCCTTCTGCTTGTTAGTTTCCACGGTGCCTTCCCAGGCTTTGCTGCTGAATTTAGTTGCAGAGGCCTCTATGAGGTCTTAGACATAGGCAAAAAATGCCACGTGGAACAAACCTTTGAATATTCACCGGCACCGCAAACTTCAGGATTTTGTTCTTAATATGAAAAAAAAAACACTACATCTATTGCAGAACACTGGTGTTTGGCTTATCTTTCCTTGGATAATAAAAGGCAAGAGGTTTGCTGTTAAGAGAGCGACTGAATTCTCTGCGTTTGACTCTTAAGGCTGTGAGTGAGCTTTTCACACATCTCGTAGCAATTGGCACACTGGGTGCCTTGCTATGGTACAGTGCTTTAATACTGAGAGGTTTTCTTTCCTTTTCACTACAGCAAATTTGTCGTGCAGTTGAAATAGATTGTGCAGCTCAAGTGTGAGCTGGGGCATCCTTTGGAAAAAAAAAGTATTTGAGGTACCCTTTGTAGAGGAGAAAGTATTGGAAGTGTTTCTGAGTGAAATAAATCTGGAAGAGATAGGATTTTATATTGCATTGAGGGTTGTTATCTTCCATTGTATTTAATATTTTTCTGGAGGTGTGGTAAATGCTGTCTGGACCATTAATAAATAGGTTTCTTTAGAACCATTTTTATCTGATTGAATGTCTGTGATTTCTTAAGATGGAAGTTTATATATAATCTCTTTAAATGGCTTTGTAAACAAATGTGTTTTAATTAGTACAGAATCATCTTTGGTAGCTTATAAAAAGTCTTGTAGAGCTGTAAATATGTAATTCCTGACACTTCAGTAAATGTGTTAGCTTAAAGAGGAGCAAGGCAACTATGCTTCAGTACCAGCTTCTACTAAACAGAGTTGGGTATATAATTACATAATTACCTACATTACACGTGTGGCCATGATATCCAGGACTATACAAAATAATACAAACACACTGAATTATCAGTACCATTAAAACAGTTTGCAGGAAAATTCCGTCATTGCTGTAGAGCGTGACTGTGCACAGAATAAAAAGAGCTGCAGCCCTTAAGAGATGCTGCTTTGTTGTGTCAAGCTCCAGTAAGAAAGGGTTGAAGCTGGAGTCAGAAGGCAGACAGGGTTCCTCACCCTGATTTTACCTTGGTGGCAGGTGAACCTGAAGTCACAATGTGGAAATTTCTACTGCTGCATTTCTGCATTTAAGAACTTTGAAATAATGATAACTTAATGAGTAATGATTTTGTCTGTGTTCATCCTGACCAGTGCATGTTACAAAGGATCCTGAGATTCTGTTTGCTGATTCTGTCTAAAACTTGAGTGCTCCCTGTATGCAGGTATTTGCATTTCATAAATAAATCTGTGAAGAGTCTTCCTGTAAAAACATGAGTGTCTTACAATTAGTTCACTTCTGTATTTTATGCTGGATTTCATGTCTGGTTTTCTCATTTCTTTAAGGAGAAAACACAACCATTAATTCACTGCCAGTGTCTCTGACCCAGAGTTGTGGGCTCAGGCCAGACTACTTTGGTTCACAATGTACCTGGAGAACATTTGATTCCAGAAGTGAATTTTTGGTGCAGAGATTCTTCTCTGACTTTATCCTATGTACGCTATTAAGCCAGATTACATAGTCATTATGCAACAATGAAAAATTTAGTAACTGCTCTATATTTAAACCTTTGTGTATTAACTTCATTGCACAGCACCAGGATGGGTTTGAATGTGGAAAAAATTGTGAAACATGAGAAAAGGAATCAGAAATGCTTCAGTAACTCTTGTCTAGCTTGTAATGCCTTCTTCTAGATCAATTTCAAATATGTTTCTATTCTTTGAAGTGAGGGTTTTGTTTGTATTAAATTTGTCCTAAATTTGCCGTGTGATAGGGTCTGATTCTGTCTGGTTTCTGGACCGAAACGGTTAACGTACAGAAATGACGAATTTTTAATTTTTGCATCTATTTCAAAAGTGCCTCTTGTTCTCACTAGCACGGCTTGTAGCGATTGCATTTTCAGTGTCATTTGAGTGTTTGATCTGTAAGTGTCCTTTTCTTTTCAGAACATCACCAAACAAGTATATTTAGCAGTTGATTCGAGAGTATGTCAACCTCCCATACACAGAGCTAGTTTAGTAGACTAAATTTGGGACATCTGAAACACAGACACATGTTCAGCCACACAAGTGTTTTTAGCATTAAGGCACCCTGCAGAAAGCACAGGTGGGGCCTTCTTGTGAGGCCAGAATTGTTCCATGCCCATAAGTGCTCAGGTGGTGCACTGTGGTGAGAGGTACCTTGGGCTGTGGATGTTGAAGCAACAACACCATGTCTGATGCAACCAGCTTCTGCTGGAGCCAGCAGGCAGGGAAATTCAGAGCAGGCAATGTGGGAATACAGACATTGAGTGAGTTTTTGTCCATTTCCTAGCCTTCCAGATCCTTGCTGCCCATCAGCTGGAGATGCTGCAGGTCTAAGATGCCTCCCAGTATGGCCAGGACAGCTCCGTGTCTTGACTGGGCAATCTGCTAATAGGAGGGAGGGGGTGTGGACCAAAGGGAACTGTTCTGGTACTTCCCATAGGATGACAAACTGCTGATAGAGCTGCTTTTTCCTTTCTACAACGAGTTTTGGGTCAGCACAGAATGGGTACATGTGAGAGAGTAATTCTTCTAATTTCAGGAGGCTGTGGAGTGAGACCTGGAGGATGTGCAAGGTGAACTCTTGTCATGAATTTTACTTTTCTCTAGCGAGTTTTATGCTCTTGCCTACAAATGTTCAGAAACAGATGAGCATGGCCCTTCTGACACTTTCAGCAAGTGACCTCTGGCAGTCAGGAGCACGATGCCAACAGTGGGAACTGTTGTTTATGTCTTTGGATGCAGCTTCAAGGAAGTACCCACCCTATGCTACCTACCATAAATATGTCAGCTGTCGAAAGCTTGTCTGCATGGGGTGCCCAGCTGTGGTGGCAGGATGGACAGACACACATTTCACATCAACTTGACACTGTCACCCTGTATCATGAGTGTCTGTGGGCATTTAATGTCCCCACAGCCTGGCTGAGCCATGCCATGCTGAGGACTGAGGAGCTTGTTTGGGGTGTGCACTTTGCCTTTCCAGCTGGCTTTGTGCAGCTCAGTGGCCTCCAAATAAAGTCTGCAGATTTATACTTGAACGCTTTAGGAAATGCACCTTTGCTGCTGTCAAAAAACTGTGCAACTGCTGCTTGAACAACTGTCTGCTGTCTGACTGGCTGTAGGCCATTTCTGTCTGCGGTGCTGGGCCTGAAAAAGCCTTGGAGAGTCCCTGTGGAAAGGCTGCAGTGGATCAGGTCACTTCACAAACATGCCGGCACTGTATCAGTCAGAGTGGCGCAGGTTCAAGTTGCACAGTTGTGTGTGTTTTGCTGTTACACAAATGGGAATCTTGTGAGTCAAATGCTGCAGCATTACAGGCAATCTTTGATTTACGTGTTCATAGACATGAATGTATGTCTGTGAATGTTTATGGCTCTATCTGGGTAAATCTTTAAAAACCTCCAGGGACTGCCTTCTACAGCCTTTCTGGGCAACCTATTCTGGTAGTGCACTGCTGCCCTAATAAAAAAATTTGTTTCCCAATATCCATCCTGAACCTCACAATTCACAGCCATTGCCTCTTGTATTATTTGGCCCTACAGAGAAGTATTTTGTTCCCATTGCAACTGCCTGTCAAGTAGTTGTAGGAATTTCTTGGAGTTGTTGCAGTTTCCTTGGAATGAAGATTATCCAGGGTTAACAATAGACTTTTTTGTTTCTTTTTTTTTTTCTCTGTATCTTGGTATTCCATTTCTTGGTGCATTAAAATGGATTTGCATCTGGGATTTCATACATGTGGCAAAGCTTCTTGACCATTACTTAATAGACTGATTTAACACAATTTTGGAATTGGTTAGGGGCAGCCTTTTTTTGAGAAGTGGTGAATGTGCCTTTCCATAGCTGAATGCTGGAGCAAAGTGGAGTCTCCAAGGACTAGAGTCAGTGAGTGGTCTTCAAATTCACTTCCGGTGGATGTCCTCCTTCTACAGGGAAATTCTTAACAACATTGTTTTGGTCCTTTGTCCCTCCAGTGGGACAATCTGTGGGCTTATTAAGCATTAGAAGAGCTGTAATGCAGACTGATAGGACCATGTTTTGTGGAGAAACGCTGAAGTCTTGAACACCTGAAACCCCTTTATCAGCTGGCACAAAGGACAGTGTGGTAAATCAGAGATAGGGCACCCGTGCACCTCTCCATACGTGGGGCAGTACCCAAAATGGAGAGCTGCAGGCTTGAGGATTCGGATTTTGGATGGCATTTTTTCAGATCCCTACCTTCCCTGATGGATTCAGTACCAGTGACGAGGGGGATATTTTTGTGCATCCGCATGAGGTGAGAACAGTGCCCACTTCTGTAGGCACTGCTGTCCTGGCCTGACACCACACTTGGTGTGGGCGAAGGTGTAGCAGTCAGGGTCCGAAGCTGGAGCACGGTGCAATTACCCACCTTCAACCACATTTCATGCACAGAGACTGTTACCCCGTTGCTCTTGAGATCAGGCTGCTTTTTCTGTTAATTTTTTTAGGTGGAATTTAAGGTGTGAGCTGCAAAACACAAAGCAGCTCCGGCTGTGATTACCTCTGTGAGTGCCTTTCCCTCCTCCGGTGGTCACAGGCAGCCGAGGAAAAGCAAAAGCTGTCAGGTCCCTGCAGAAAAAGAGAAATTAGTGCTGGCAGAGTCTGTACGAGACAACTTATCTGCTGTGAAGTTTGAGTCCCTTGTTCCTGCTGGTGTGATCTGTTAACATAACATGCCTGAAATGTTTTCTTACATTCTTATTACAGTTTTTTCTAAGATGTGCAAAATGAAAGACGTGGGGATATTTACTCCAGCACCACAGGAATTGTGGTGGGCTGGTTTTCTTTTTGTACATTCACAACCTATGCCATCAATTCTAATACACGAGTTAGTCACATAAGCATGCCTGCATTTATGTAAAGATCGACGTAAAGCTTATGCTTTAAAATCTTTAATGGATTTATAGATGCTGAGTAATTAGATGAAAGAAAAAGTCCCTTAAAAAAGAAAAAAAGGTGAAGTTAGAGCAGATCTTTCAGCAAGTGTGTTTATTACATTTACTGCTATCAGTCGTTAGTGCTGAGAATGCCTAAAGCATTTTTGTTAATATTTAGTTCTTTTTATCTCTTCTCATTGGTCAGTTAAAATACTCTTCTTAACTTCAGTCCAGTGTTTTTCATGGCACTTCTGTGAAGTCCTGCTTTACCGGGTTGGCAGGTAACCTAAAAGAATTAGTGATATAAAAAGGCACACAGCCATGCCCCTGAATCCTGGCAATATTTCTGTTAACTCCCCAGTTAATGGTAAGGATGTGCACTAAAGCCTTACTTTCTCCCTGTGGTAAGCAGACTTTCCTCAAATAGCAATAGAGGCAGATAAGTTGAGTACGTAGTCTGGTTTCATTAACGTTTTCCAGGATTAATACAAAGTAGATCTTAGATCAACAATTCTGTATATTCCTTATCAGACTTTTAATTACTCCAAGTATATAGATCATTCCATTTCAATGCATTTAACTCTTTATTTACCACCTCGATACTATTCCTGTCCTGTTCCTTTCCATATCCTCCTTTATCTTCAGTCTCTACTTTCTTGTCAGCTGTCTAAATACAGTTGCATCCAAGTTTTGCTGAGTGACGCAGACGGTTGCGTGTGTGTTTAGAGGCCACTTACAATACAAAAAGATTATTCGAATTTAGTCCCTGAAATAAGTTTTTGTATTTAAAATGCAAACCCAGCCAGGCAGCTGTTGGAGATTACAGGCACAGAAATAAAAATTTACCTGATTAGGATTTTCTGTATAAATACCAGATATAATTTTGTATTTCGCTGTTTTAAAGATCAATATCCCAGTTTAAGGTAGCAGCCTCGGGGATCTGATGGGGCTGTTTTTATGAATACTTAGCCCAGCCTTTGTTGGTGTTGTTTAAATGAAAGGATTTAGATGGGTAAGTTTAGAGCCTTGTATTTAAAAACAAACCCCAGGCCTAAACAAAAAGTCTGTCATTAGTTTTCTCCTGTGAATCACATTTTCAGCAATATTCCTTTTTCCCTAAGTGGCTTGAAGAAAGAATTGACAGTTTTATAGAAATGCTGTTTTCTTTCTTGCCTAATACATGGCTGATTTTTAGGCAGCTAGAACTAGATGTGTTAGTGTGTAGTCATTGCTGTTCTGTATTTAAATTTGATTTTATTTTGCTTTGAGTTTTTTCCCCATTAATTTTCAGGTTGTTTTCACATTGCACTAATCATTCCAATTACACATGTGTAATTTGTCATTTGGTGCATATTAAATCCTCTTCAGCTGCATTTCAAACACTGATGCTGGGTTGTGATTCTGAACTGACTGTTCAATAGAAAGTTCATTCTCAACCAGAAGCATTGAGTTCCCTGCAATGTTTGTTTCCTTCATGCAGCATTGAGCAGATTTGAAAAAGATGATTATTCATCTCACCCTTGAGATCTGCTTCAGTTATTCTTATGGCTGTGTGGGGGATGTCAGCTCCAGGTCATCGCTTTGTTCAGCCTGTAACAGGCTGGGAGAAAGGAAAATAGTAGCCATGTTGCTCATGGAAGTGCTTCGGCATCCATTTATGTCTCATTGAACCACGTGGATTCCTGTTCAAGAATCGTGAATTAAGACCAGGAGAGACCTTCTTTAGGATTTAACTGTAGAAACACACTCACACATGGTTCTTTGGTTCGCCACTGCCTTGTTTTGGATAGTTGAAGCAACTGTTTCGTGGACTATTGTATTGCCAGCTTCTCTTTCTCAAAGAGAGATGGTTTGGAAAAGAGATATTTTTAGAAATACTACCTTGTTCATCCTCTTTTTACTGATAGACTAATGTCATTAGTACAGGAGAGATTGTTGAGGGCAGCAGTAGTGATACTTGCAAAGCAGTAACAGAGGAAGCAGGACCCAGTTGTTGAGGAATATGGCTGGAAGTGTTTTCTCTTGTGTATTTATAATAAATGCTGTACAGTGAGAGGAAGAATGTCTCCTTCTCGGGGGGACTGTGGGCCAGTAGAAGAGAAGAGAAGGGGCATCAGGACCTCCCTGTTACAATATTCATAAACCACGTCTGGGAACAGCTCTGAGTTGTGCAGAGCTGCATGGGTGCCCTTGCCTTGCATAGCAGGAGTGTGTCCTATGGCAGCAGGCAGGGATAGGAATGGGGAGAGGGGAACCGGGGTCTGCAGCTGCCCACAGCTCTGTCTCTGCCTGCGGAAATCACTGTGTTAAAGCAAAATCCCAGTTTTAATTCCTTACCCAGCCATGGGTTGAGTGTGGAGTCTTGCGTGGAATTCTCAGATCTCTGCTCATACTCCCCCTTGGTTGAGATGGGACTGACCAGGCCGAGCAGACTGCTTTGAAACACAGGTATGAGACTCCAGTCTGAGTGTGCCAGCAGCATTATTGCATTTCAAGTGACCTTTCAGTCTGAAACTTTGCCAAAGGGAGGGGAAAGGAAGCCACTCGAGTTCTGCACAGAGATCCTGCAAACAGATGGTGTTTGCATATAGGATATGCTGTTCGGGTGCAACTCTACTACAACGCTCTCCGTTTTTAATGATTGCAGGCGGGCTAAACTCCGGCTATATTTGGAACAGCTAAAACAGCTTGTGCCTCTCGGGCCGGACAGCACCAGACACACCACTCTAAGTCTGTTGAAAAGAGCTAAGATGCATATCAAGGTAAAAACATTCACGCATGTTTTTGTTTCTTTTGAAGGAGAATCTTCCAGAATGTGTATCCATAGAGAGGAAACTAATTTTCACACAAAATCCATATCCATATGTCCAATGTTCTGGATATATTGGCCTTTATTAGTTGCAAGGATTTCAGTCACAGTATCAAGGTTTTGCAATTTACCCGGCAGTCTCAGATATATAAAACAGTCATTTCTGCTTAGTTACTAACTAATGTAATTATTTACACTGTAGCTTAAAAAAATAATATATATGTATCAAAGCTGTTGATTAATGTGTTTGGGTTTTAAGGACTGAGCAAGGTAACATTGTACTGTGTTGCTTTCAGTGTAAAAAGCCAGATCCATTCATGATGAAAAAAAATAAAAGTCAGAAGGATTATAGCTACTAGTGAGCTTTATCCACATCCCAAATCTTGCTGACCAGGTTCTGAAGCATTTTTTAAACATTTAAATGAAGACAAAAATTAAATACAACCTCCTGCTAGTTGCTGGCTCACCTTGTTACGAGTTTAAAACAAAAAAACAGCCCAAAATCTCACCTGTGATCCAGCAGCAGTGCAGGTTCTACATTGGAAAAGGTAATTGAAAATGAATTACTCCTTAGGCCTCCTCTCTCCAAAGACACCTTCACTCCCATTTTCACTGTCGTCATTTTCAGGGAACCTGGTAACGTGCAGAAATAAGACAAAGAGGTATTCAAATGTAAAAGTTAAAGAACAGGTTTCTGCTGCTATGTCCAGGACTATAATTACTCATCTTGCATTTTTTTCAGTGTTACAGGGAAACAGGTCAAGAAAAGTGTCAGGAAAGGTTGAACACTGCCAGTAATCTTAGCATATTTTGGAGAACAGCCTGCTGATGTACATCATTAAGATGCACTGCAGTTACAGGAACGTAATTCATATAAAGAATTAAAGATTAATTTAAGCAAAACTATTTGTGTGAACAGATTTGCAAAGCTACTTCTTCAACTCTTCTAAGCACATTTACTCCAGCTGGGCAACCCCTGTTTTTACCATTTGAGATTTTGGCCTCTTGTTTATAATTCAGGCTAACATGCGTGAAAGGCACTGCATGTGGTTTTTGTCTTGGGCTGCCCCCCTATCATGGGCTTATGCATACAAATTGAAAAACTGTTTTTACAAGTGGCGAGTGTGAGAGATTAGCCCTGTAGTTACCATTTCAGCTGCTGATAAAAAAAGCTAGGAACAGCTTCTTTCCAAATCCACCGCGCACAGTACCAAGTACTCGTTTTCTGAAAACTGAGACTGAAGTTTAACTTTCTTTTTAACATTTTAACTGAACCTGCCCTAACTGGGTTGGCACTTAATTGCTCCCCTTTGTCAGGTCAGCTCCCTCCCTGCTGCACTGCCAGAGCATGGCTGTGCCCGGCTCCCATTTCTAACACAGTCATTAGTTTTGAACTTTTCACACACACCCCCATGTATTGAAACTTACTCTGAAAGATTGGACGGTTTTGAGTCTCCTGGATATGAATCACTGAGTTCATTCCTAAAATAGCTGTTAGAGTTTGGGATTGCAGCCAGGAAAATACAGGAAGAGGAAATCTGATCAATTGGGCACATTTGGTTTGTTGTGTACATGGATGTACCAACCCCTTTTCTTATTTTAACAGTGTGTATCCACCTCTGATGCATTTTTATGGAGTGTATTGCCTGGGAGGGGGCTTAACACCTGGCTGAAGAGTGTAGGTCTCATTCAGCCAGGAAACTGCCCAGTTCAAGAGTGTCAGTTATTTTTTCAGAGATAAATGCTTTTATTTCAGGCTTGCACTGGAACAGCAAAATCTCTGAAGGCTTTTGCTTGTGGTTTGCTGTGCACTGTCTCAGCCCACTCTCCTCAGAAAACCAAGCCCAGGTTCATTCAGATGGCGGGGAGACACTGTCAGCAGCTGTATTCACTCCCTGCACATCTCCTAAATCTCAGCAGTGTAAACACAGCTCACAGAGAAATCTGCTCTTTCTTATAAGTGCTTTTACTGCTATAACCTGTAATTTACTGCATCAGTTAGATAATTTTTTTAGTAATAAAAGGTGTTTTGATTTGTGTGTCCTTCATGCTTTTAATCCCATCTTACTCATTACACTTTTTGCCCTAATTATACCGTCAAAACCAGCTATCAGTGATTTGGAAGAGGGTTCAGTTGAAATATTAAAAGATGCTACTTCTGTTACTGCATTTGGACCAACTGTGCAGCATGTATTCTTTCTATTTGCAAAATTAATACCTGCTGTTATTCTATCAGAGGGGAGATTTTAGGTAGATATGTGGAAGAATCCTTTCACAGGCTGTTTGCTGAGAAATTTTGGATTAATACCACTGATTTTGTAGGAGATATCACAGAATTATCATATTTGCTCTGCAGAGGTTCAAGGAAAAAAATCCAAGAATAAAGAGAATTGTTAGTAAATTCCTCCCACTATATATAATTAATGCTGCTTATTGTTAATTAAGCTTTTTAAATACTAAAATTTTCCATGGCCTGTGGTAGGAGGGAGAGCATTCAAAGGCTCAGGATGGTTCCTTTATGGTGATAGATAAGTCTCTTATTTCACCTAAAGTGATGTTATGTTCTCACTGAGCTGCACTCGAGTTATCAAGATGATGCCAGTTTTGCCTGATAAAATGATTTAAATATTCCCCACAACCAAGGCAACAATAATTTGGCCTTAGCCAAGGAATGTCTGCCAGTGGCAAGAGAGTCTCTGAGGGATTTTTTCTTTTATTATTTTTTCCCCTGCATCCATATATCTTATTGTGAGACAAATTCAGCTGTGACCTAGACGGCCAAAATTGTACTGACTTCTGCAGAATGCTAACTAAAAAATTAAATTCTTAAATTTCATTTTAACTTAATTAAAGTATTTATATTGCTTTTAAATTACTGTTTATGAGAAGACCTTAAGTTACTTCTGCTTTAACGTGGGTAAAAGCTGTCAGCTTACTGTGTTCCTCTCCCTTTAAGAAATTGGAAGAACAGGACCGAAAAGCTCTAAATATTAAAGAACAATTACAGCGGGAACACCGCTACCTCAAGCGCAGATTGGAGCAGCTATCCGTGCAGGGCATGGAGCGTATCCGCACTGACAGCATGGGATCAACAATATCCACTGACTCTGAACAAGGTAATTGAACCAGGGCTTCCCAAGGGGAGTCACAGGAGCAGGAAGGAAAAGGGAGGTAGGGGAACGAGAAACTGTCATTTAGAACTAAAACTGAGCTTTCAACAAAACCCAGACAAAGTTGTTCCATAATGCTATTTGAGGAATAAAAAACGACTGCAACTTTTTTACATTCTTTGAAAAATGTTCCTTTTTCTAATCAGTTTTGAAGCTATTAATACTGTGTGTATTTTTAAAGCTATTTATCCTGTGGATGTTTTTACCAGTTTTTTAAACAATTACCATTTAATGTTTTGCATTTTTAGTGTAATTACTGGTAAGGCTGGCATAATATTTTCTCTTGGAAAAAGAAGTCCTATTGGGCTTAATTCATTTGTGTGAATAAATTAATTCCACATCATTTATTGTGAAATTTTAAAGCATCTTCTGTGTAAGGATCACTAAGGGTTCTCTGCATTTGGTTCTCATTTAAGACAGAGCTCTTGGAGCTGCCCGTTGCCATTTCTTATTTTCCCATTTGGAAGTTTTTCCATGCTGAGCACTCACCCAGGCTGTTTCAGGGCCTGTGGGAGCTGAGTGTTTGGTCTCGGGGCAGTTACTGGGGACAGACGGTCACGCCACAGTCCTCGCCAACCAACACCTGTATGGGTTGGAATTACCAGGAATGGGACTTGCACTATTACCGCCTTTGAGGGTCGGGTTCTTGCTAGATCAGTGTCATGTGCAGGTTGGAACAGTTCTGGGACAGCATTTGGTACTGATGTCATGCAGTGTATTTATGTGGTTGAGGACAGAAGGGATTTCAATTCTCAGGTGGACAAGATGATCATTTCCTCAGGAGTTACTGTGCCAGTTCTTTTTGTTTTGATTACTGAAAATGAAGCATGATTCAGGTTCCACCTGAACGCTGATTGACACTGGCCCATAATTACTTGCTACAGCTGCTGCCTTTCTGAAAATGTGCCTTCTTATGTTTTCTTTAGAAGTAGACATTGAAGGAATGGAGTTTACTCCAGGTGAAATGGACAGTATTGGAAGTGCCAGTGATGCTGAAGACCACTACAGTTTGCAAAGCGGTTCGAGTGACGGAGGTTACACACATTCCCGCAGACTGAATGCCAGGCTCTCATAGTGCCTGAGTTACCTGTTCAACTCAGGACCATCTGACTGAAGCACTTATATATGAATATTCCAGAGGTGTCAACTGCCACTCTTCCGGGAAACCCCAACCACAGTACTCTGACATGGAGGTTTCTTACCCACGGTTCCCTGCACTGTAACCACAATATTAGATATTGTAAATCATGGGTTTGCTGCAGAGAACTGTGGTTAGGTACAGTTGTGACTTAAAGCTAGCTTGATGTAGCCATACTGCAAATTAAAGGAAATAAATTATGTCATTCCATTCAAGAAGAATTAAATTCAAACTGTTGGAAGCATGGCGTAAGGGAGTTTGACAGTTATTTTGATTTTGCAGAAACCATTTTTCAAACATGGAAGAATAAATGGAATCTACAATGTGTTAGTCATTCAGAGATACAAAAAACTACTTTTTGTGGTATTTTTTCATGAAAAAAAAAAACAAAACCCCAAAATATTTTGAATGCTGCATAGTGGGCTTCATAGAGCAAATTCTTTCAGCAGTTGTTGTTTGGGTAAAGCAGGCAGATAAATCTCCAAATCTCAGATGATCTTTAGAAAAGGTCATATTTACAAGTCACTACTGTACTTCAAAACGGGGGAAAAGCCAGCTCTAATAATGACTTCATGTGGGATGATCTCAACTTTCTTTTGCTTTTTGTATTCAATATCCAACCAGCAGCAAATCATTCTATCCATGTTAATGGGAGCAGTAGAAAGCAACATGGCAGTTTTAACCTGTTATCGTGGAATGGATGACATCTGAAGCATTTCAGTGGTTTTATGGGTTGTTGTTTTCGTTTCTTTCTCTGAAGAATACAGAACTCAAGTGATCCAGTTTGTGATGGTTAATCTTTCCTTTCAAGGAAATGAAATCTGTTTGCTTGTATTTTTTTTCTTTTCTTCTATTTACACATGTCAATACATTTTTATGGAAGGCATGGCTTAAGATTACAGTATTCAGCTAGAAGATAATTATTTTTTTTTCTTTTGCACACTATAATTGCATTTTCTATTCTTAAAAAAAAAGTGCAAAAAAATTAAAATGTATGCTGTAAAACAGCAAAGTTTATTTAGTACTCATCAAGCTGTTCAGAACATATTTACCCAACTTGTAGCAATACTATGAAGATGTATTTTAATACAACTTCTGCTTAGTGAAGTCATTAGAGCTTGGCTTGCCGGGTAAGAAAAAAATGGACCAGTCTTTGCATTACCTGTTTAAAGAAGGTCTTTTAAAAAAAAATAATGGAAGGAAAAAAAAAAAAGGAAAAAAATTAAAAATAAAAAAAAAAAAAGAAAAAAGCTATAAACACTTTTAGGGAAGTGATTTTAGCAAGTGTAGTCTATATTTCCTGTAAGAGATTTTGTATTATATTTTCCTAAATGTTCTCATTTACTTGTATAGGGAGGGGAATGGTACAGACCCAGACCAGAGTCTCAGGGACTCTTCACCTTTGTCATATTGTGCCTTGGTGACCATTTATGTATGCCTCTCCTTTTCATTGTTTAAAGGACAACTAAGCTTTGTTTCAAGACCCTCTGTTCAAATGGTCAGTTGTCCACATTCTTGCAGATGAAGCAGAGAGGTGTATTTATATCTTCACCCTCTCACAACTGATTTAGTGTGGCTTTAAGTAAAATCATAACATTAGGTTTTGGTGCGAGGGTTAATTGTCTTTGTATGAGCCCTCCCCTGGATTCTTCAGCACCCAAATCTATATTTTGTTAGCTTATAAAGTCAGGGTCTCTGTGAGACCAGCGCTCAGTGGCTGAGGAAACACAAACGTACTGTGTAAGGCTATGGGATGTCCAAGTGTGGTGCCATTTTTAGCATTCGGATACAAGACCTCATGACAGACTGACCATAATGATCAAAAACAAAGGTTCAGTTGTTCTTTCAACATCTGACATACGTGTCCTCCCTTTGGCTCTTACAACACGGGGTAGAAATATGAAATCATTTTGTGGCAGCTTACAGATCCTTGTTTGCACTCTCGCTTACTGCTTGGAACTTGCCAACAAGGAAAACATACATTTAATTTACATAACCTAATGGATGGCCACCCCTACTTTGGCTCTGGGGAGGGGCCTAAGGTTATCAACTCTGGCAGCTGAATTAAAAAACAATTAACAATTTTCTGTGATGCAGGTTTTGGTATTACATTCTATACACCTTGCATATTACTAAAATCCTCATTATTGGGGAAAGCACACAGCAATATACTCATTGTGTGTAGCTGACAAGCAGCAGAAATTACTAGCTCCTTTGGTGCATATGTAACTAATTTCCAAATCATGGAAAAAAAAAAAAAAGAGTTTACTTTAACACACGACTGTTAACAGGAAAAAAAAAGGCTAGTATATTGTTGCTGTTCATTTATTATATAATGAACACATTCATGGATTGTAAAGTGTTTCCTTTCATGACAAGCAGCTCTTGCACAGAACCTCCGAATGAAAAAAGATTTGAAACTTACAGAAGGAAAAACAAGACTTTAAATTGAACATTATTGTACCTTAGGTCAACCTGAAATTTTCCTTTTAAAGATGAATGTGCTAACTTAATGAGTTCTTCCACGCTGGGTATCCATGGCTTTGTAGATCTTATATTTTCAATAAAAATTACTCGAATAATCTTGAGTGGAAATAAAAAGGGTTTATTTGTTTTTACTTTTTCAGTTATTACAGCTGGGAGCTATTATGCTGGTAAAGAAAAATGACACCATACTGCCTGTGTCATTCTCCCTCAAGCGCAGCCCAATTTAAGGTGGAATTTTCAGGCACAGCTTCCCCAGACAGCAGCAGCCCAGTTAGAGGCAATGGCACAACAGTTGCAAGTGTCCGGCTCGGTGGCTGGTCTGGCCCCCCAGCAGAGCTGCAGTCCCACAGGTGTAGTTGGGGCTCTGACATTCCTTCAGGGACACGATTCTCCTGCTACTGAGCAGCCAGTGCAGCGCTACCTGTGGCCGTAACCCCGTGGGATGCAAAGTGTGTTATTGTTAGTAATTTTTTTAAGCTGGACATTTGTGCATGCATCTCTGTGTGCACACAACTGCACCTGTAACCACGACATGACTGCAAAAAGTAAACTGTTGGCTGCAAGATTAAATCCTGCCACCACCTCGGCAGCTCTGCCGCGTTGTGTCGTGACGGTGCTTTTAGCAGGCAAGGAGGTACCAGTGCTCAGCTCATCTTAATTCCCCTGCAATTAGCACACTGGAAAAGAAGGAGTAGAGGCAAGATTACAGGGCTGCTAGGTCTTTTCCTCTGTGGAAAGGGCTCTGGAGAGATGAAGTCATCGAGAAGTTCTTTTTATGGAGACGTGGAGGTTTGGCCTGTTTCCTGGGGGGAGAAGAAAGGAAGGGCTTTCCCTTGCAGCAGGCAGGTGTCGGGAGGATATGCGCCTCCTCACTGCTCCTGGATTAGCGCTTCCTCCAGCTCCAGGAGTGCGCTCTGTCATCACTGCAGACAGGCATAAAAAAACAGCCTAAAATTGTTAGTTTTTTCTGCACATTCTCCACTGTAATTCAGGGGATGAATCCTCCTTCACATCCAATCTCTCTGCCCAACTTGTACCCTGCCAGGCCCATTGCAGCTGATTTATTTATCTTCTGAAAAGAGCAGGTTTGGCAGTAGAAACTCTTCAACATATTGTTAACCAGAGACTGGATCCTGTATTGTCTTGTGCAAAGGACAAACTCGGTTCAGAGAGTTTTACTGGATTAAATCAGAGATAATAAGCCCCCTAAAAATCCATGAGAAGGACAGTTTTTCATCTGGTGTTTGTAGATTAGTTTCTATCCTAATTTATTACTGTAAGCTTTGGGGTGAAAAAAAAAAGACTTAAAATCTAACACAACTTGCATCTAACTTACAGAATTAAGACTGTCTGACCTTAAAGTGTGTTACTTTTTTGACGTGAATGAGTATGGATTCAGCTATACCACACGCAGCCCACCAACATTTAGTATTATAAGTAAAAAAAAACAAAAAAACCCCCAATAAATTACAGTGATAAATACCAGTATTCTGAGCATCCAACTGTACCCATTTCAGCACATGAACTTAAATGCCAAAAGAGGAGAACTGAGAAACTGAAAGAGGTGAAATTGTTTGACTGTGGGCTCTGCCTGCAGACCTGTTCCAGGGTGGGTACTTCTGCTTTTCCTGGAGGTACTTACAGCAGTCTCTGCTCCTGGAACAGGTGATTATTTCACCATTTTACCAACTTTTTGGCAGACTGGTAATTAGCGGTGAAATTTTTGATCCTCGCAGAGCAGCCCTGTGGAGAAGAAACGTTTTTGAAAACAGCCACATCATCACAGTTTTTAATTAAGTAATATTAATTTTATACACTTCATTTTATGATGGCACTGAAAAAGGAATGTTTGCAAAACAAATTACTCTTTCAGAAACCTGTTGTGTTTTGGTTTTTTTTTTAAACTGGTAGAGGCCACTGTCTTGTGTGGTATGAGCCAGTAACAGTGCACTAACTTGCACTTTCCAAAATTGGTGGAAGGATAATTGAATCTCTTTAGATACCCTTTAAGGAAGAGCTGTACTCCCTGCAAATATTAATGGGGCAAACACACCAGAAATTAATTTCACCAGCAATGAAATGAGCCAATTTGCTTAAGTGACTGCCTAAAAGCACTGTTCTTAATTGGTAGCTGCAAAGAAAGCATTCAAGTGTGTTCTGTAACCACCTAGAATTAAAATGCAGGGGATATATGAAACAGAAAAGCCCAGAAACCATTTGGTCACCTTGGCTGTCCTCTCTGCCTGAAGTATTGTAAATAATCCCAGGAAAAGATTCCTAGGGAGGCATGGCCAGCCAGAGGCTGGCCCATTGGCAAAGCAGAGGGAAGGCACACCAATTTCAGAATTTCTTTCTTCCATTTTGCACGAGAGGCATAAACTGTGGTTACACGGGATTTATGGCATTGGAAGGGTCTGTGCAATACGGATGTTTAAGTGATGAAACTTTGGTGCAGGCGAAGCACTGACTGAGAGCCTTCTGCTGCTTACTGGTGAAATTGTTACCTAAAGGTGTTACGAGTGGGTTCTGTGCCAGAGCCTCTGGGTCCCAGAGCCAAAGGAATGGTTCATAGTCTGTGAGATGCATTTTACTGTATTATACAGATTCATTTGTACGCACGTACATGGCGCTTGCTACGTTCTGTAGCACACGGAGTACTGTGTTGTATCATTATCTCGTCATAATATAAATACAAATTTTTATACCTTTTTGTTGTGGTATCCAGTTTTTTTTTAAAACTGTCATCATTCTTTTTTTGTGCATAGTGTTTCTTCTCTTTGAAAGTCTTTACATGCTGCAGATCTTTACATATTAGTTTAATGACTATTTCATAGGGAGCTCACTGAATTTTAGCAATTCAAATGAACAGCATGGAATGGAGGCTGAAGTGCTGTTAAAAGTTCTTTTACACACACTGGCCTGATGAAACCCCAATAGTTATTAATATTATTTGTCTCTAACCATGGGTGCTGTATAAATTTCCACTATTACCTTTCTGAAGACAAACCAACAACTTTGTAAAACAAAGTGCCAGCTGAAATGCATTAGTGTCTGTTCTAAGTAATTATACTTGAAATCATTCCAGCTCTGTACAAGGCAGAAAAAAAAGCATTAAGCGGCAGTCTGCAAGTTCTGCATGTGTATATTGTTGAATATGAAAGTCACATCATAAGTGACGTGCAGCCAGACAAAAATGAGTATTTTAGTTTGTTACTAGGAGAGATGAGTCGAGGGACAGAGCCGAAATGCTTTTGTGAATTACATCAATTACTCTCAGCTGCAGTGTGTGACATCCACTGGTTTGTATGTGTTTGTCACACATGTTGGACTTAAATACAGCAATGTCTTAAAAATACAGAAATAGTAGTTTAAAGTTGAAATCATGGCAAGTAGCTTGTTGATATGTTTATGTTTGATTTGAGTAAGTTAAGCTGCTGAATCAGTAAAAGTACTCCTGCGCAAAGCATAGTAAACTAATTTATCACAGCTTTCTTTGAAATTAACACTATCACAGAATAAGCATAAAATAAAATCCAGTCCTTACTAACTTACTATAAATTAATCTCCGACAGGAAAAAGCTATCAAACTTTTAGCAGTGCTGTGTTTTGTGACAGCACTTTTCTCAGCACAAGAATTGCATGGGGTAACAGAATTATGACAAATGTGGTGACACTATTTTTGTAAATCCTGTACAGTTTATGACCTGCACAGTTTCTTTTATGACATCCGTCATGTCCTATCATCTGTTTATAAGCAAAGCAAGTTTCATCATGTCCAGGAGCTTGCCTTGCCTATCAGGATGAAGATGTTTTGTCAAAATGTATTTAAATAAGAAAGAGCCTTAAATTATAATTAAAATCATAATGATATAACCATCAGATTCCTCTAAAAGAGGTACTTTAAAGTGGATTTAATGGAAAAGCTATCAGTTATTATTATTCTGTAAACTGTGAATTACCCAGTGTTTTTAAGGACCGTGGCATGGCAAGAAAGGTGTGATTATGGTGTGGGGGCCAGAGGAAGAGCAGAGTGCTGGTGTCACTGCTGCCTTAGAAGAGCTGGGCCTGGCTGAACAGAGATTGCTGCTGATTTCTTTGTGCCCGCTATAGTTTTACACTCCCCACAGCTCTGTGAAAGCCCCCAAAAGCTTGGTCTTCTGTGCCACCGCTGCCCCACTGGGGATGAGCTGTGGGGAGGCTGATGGGAGAGAGGGAGCAGAGCAAGGAAGTGATCTGGTCCTGCACAGTCCCTGCCGAGGTTTCTGCTGAGTCCCAGTGCATGTTCCCACACACGGGTTCAGTTTCTTAAGAACAAAACCCATTTGCAGACAGCCTGGCTCAGCAGCCCTGCTTGGGGTACTCATTCAAAATAGGGTCAGGTGAGTAAACAAACCATTTTCTAGAACAAAACAAATCCCCTTGTGCATTATATGTTTAAATACTTAGGAGTGTTAGCTCAAAGGTGGAGGAGCTTCTTGTATATTTATGGCAGTGAATCCAACAAAGCTGAAGAAAACTAATCACTTTGACCTGCTTTTCTGGGAATACAAGGTCTCAGAATGAAATCCACCGTTCCTCTGGAGAGAAGATACATGCACTTGGGAGAGAAAGCAAGCTGGTGCCAAATTCCTGTCTTATGACTTTGTTATAATAAAAGTTCACATGGCACTTCAAAAGCCATGCTTAATTCAGAATATAAATTTGCTTAAAGGAATGAATTACCTTTTAAAACAGGGTGTTTCTGAAGACTGATTGTTACTCCAGCAATCTGCAGCAGGGACCTCTGCCATCCTGCTGCTGCCAGCAGGCGTGCAGTATGATGCAAAATGAAAAAGCTTCTATACAGTTACAGTTCACCAGCTAAAAACCTATTTCCATATCTCCTCTGAGGGTTTTTTTCCCACGAAACAAAAAAACAAATAAACCCCCCCATGAAACAAACAAACAAACAAACAGAAAAACCAAACAAAAACCAAATCCTAAAGCAGTAACAAGCAACCCACTTTTATGAGAGTTTTTCATCTGACAGATGTATCCCAGCGGGAGGGTTTAGACTGCCCACCTGTGACACCTGTTTGATGGCTGTTTATTACAGCCTTGGATGATGGGTAACC